CCGTCGAGCTATATTAACAGACCGCCGAATATTGGTTATCGAAAAATCTCGAGGGGGTGGGGCTGGAGAGGCTGCAGCCCCTCCCCCCGCATCATACGCCGATATGTTAAAGTCATACACTAACTTCGACATTATGAGCGTCCATACATATTCCCGAATATTGGTTATAGTTAAGTTATCGGGGTAGGGGGGGGGGGTCTATTTCATCATTTATTAATATAACCTTGACATGTTAGTGTCATGAATTTAAAAAAGCAAAACAAAAGAAAACAGAGTAAAACAATGCACAAAAGCACTAAATATGTTAAATGTGTGGGTTGTGAGCTGTCGCATCTGCATGCTTTGGCCAACCCTATTGGCAAACCGTGGTTTAGTGTGATGACCCTACACGCCTATCTTGTCTCATCCGCACTTGTTTACACTTTCATACGAAATACGAGATAATCGGGAAAATAGGCGAAATATTGTTTCTCTCACTATCTCGAGATTACCAAATATCCAGCTATTTGAACTATCCCGATCGAAACTATCCCGATCGAAACTATCCAGCTATGGGTTGATCGGCTGACTTCCTGCCATTCTTCCAGATTTTACAGACAAGATTATACTTTATTTTTTATTCTACTCAAATTCTACTATGCCTGTTGTGATTGCATTCTAATGGCAGTTAAAAGGCATATAGGGAAATCCTGTATTACACACACCGGACGTTGATGGCTGAAGTAGGGTCTGGTTACTGTAAAACCAGAGAGTTTAGAGAATCTCGCGATTTATTATTGAGAGCGATTTTCACGGCAAAAAAAAATTTTGATTCGCAAATTTTGATCAGTGTGGTTGAGTTATTGTGATTCAATTATTTCATGAAATGAAACTGCGCAAAATTCGCGAACATTTCATTCTGCGCTTAAAAAGTTTTTCGTAAAAGCGAGAGATGTTTTGATCTGGTTCAAGCTTCGTTAATTCTGAGGTTAGGCCTAGTGATTGCACTTGCCTTTGAGTCCCATGAAAATGAAAAGGTAGCGTTTAGAATGTCGCCAATTAAGAGGGTGTTGAAGATTTAGGGACGATAAAAATGTAATTTTTGATTATTAACTATAAAAAGACATTCTGTTCACACTGCATTGATGATTTTGACTAGAGCTGACATCGTCTTTGGGTTTTTATTTTTTTTACAAAGATAAGACCCCGCCCCCCCCCCCCCCCACTCAGTGTTATGTAGGGTACGCGTATGCTCGTTCCCTCTTTTTTAAAGCACCCCCTATCTGAGGACTGCCAACATTTCCGAACCCCCCTTTCGCGGGCTTTTCCTGCCTTGGAGACCCCCCTAAATGCGGAAAAATGCTCAATGTACCCCCCTAAATTCGGAATAATTTCTCAGGAGTCCAAAGAGATGAGAGAAGAAAAAAAACACCCCCTTTTTAAAGAAATCTCCGGTTGAAAAGTCAAACACTCCCCTTTTTTTTTTACAATTCTCGGGCCGGACTTTGTCGCACGAAAAGTACCCCTTTACCGGACATTTTGGTAACACGCATGCGGTCATTCCGACCCCGGAGTGGGGGGGGGGGCGGGGATAAGACAGTATGTTGAGCTCATGGTTGGAATTTGACTACTGTCACACGTTTACCAAAGAGCAGAGCTCTTCGCACCACGTGCCGTCTGATCAATATTTGAGGGGCAGTGTTCGTGTCATCATTAAACTATATTTTGTCACATGTGAATAAGTTCAAGGCACTTTAAATCATATGTAGAGATCAAGCTTTGTAAAAATATCACCAGAAAAAAAAAGCTAAATAAAATTTACGCGTATATTTTGCTTGAATTTTTTTCTTTTTATTGTAATTTTTGTTTATAAATCATCTTGAATCCCCCTTTCAAATCATGTAAGGGTGTTGATATCATGCAAAAATGTATGTAAATATGTATGACAGACATGAGCGATATAGAACCTCAACTATTGTGACTATTATGATATTGATAATTATCAGCATTTTATTTATCATTATTGTTAATATTATTATTAGTAGTAGTAGAAGTAGTATTATATGGTCATCATCATCACAATTACTGTTATTATTATCATCATCATCATCATCATCATCATCATCATCATCATCATTATTATTTTGTTACTAATATATTTAATGTACAATGTAGAACATAAATACTAATGTTAAGCCCTACACGTATATTTTATCATAGCATATTAGTGTTTTGCTATACGTTGCATTAAATGAAAGCACAGAATGATCTAGAGTAGCTTCGTAATTATCGCGGGTATTGACACGAGATTTAGAATTTGATCCCAATTCGAAAACACATGATCTACCACGCTGATCTATATTTATGATACACAGATAAAAGTGTCTGCACTTTCCTTGATTTTTGCCCGATTATTGCCCTTTGATTTTCCAAAGATAAATGGAATATTCATTTGTCCTAATGGAGTGCAAATTTGCCCTTTATCCCGATCGTTAAGTTCGCGGTCCAATTAAATTGTCAATCAGTCTATGATAAATGGGCCACTGCTTTAGTTTGTTGAGGTGACAACGAGAGCAAAGAGTATGTTTATGAATAATTAGTTCTGAGTCTGGTGCAAGAGTGCCTTTTTGTGTCGCCCTGAATTCAAGCAACCCATTTGGTCACATATTGTTGATGTTGTTTTTTCTTCTTGTGTTTCCTGATCTAAATGTTTTTATTGATGTTCCTGCCTCTTTCTTCTTTCTCCTCCTCTTCTTTTTCCTCCTCCTCCTCCTCCTTCTTCTTCTTCTTCTTCTTCTTCTTCTTCTTCTTCTTCTTTCTCTTCTTCTTGTTCTTCTTCTTCTCCTTTTTCCTCTTCTTCTTTTTCTTCTTCTTCTTTTTCTTCTTCTTCTCTTTCTTCTTCTTTTTCTTCTTCTTCTTCTTTTTCTTCTTCGTTCTTCCTCTTGCTTTTTCTCCACTATAATTAATAGTGAAACACGCTATAGTTTCTTTCTTAAGAGTGAAAGCTAGGATTGGCAGTCAATTGAATCTAATGCACGCATGGAGGAGACAAAAATAACAAATTTCTTCGTGAACAAGATAAAGTGAAGTGAAAAAGAAAGAAAATTAAAATGAAATTTACAAGGAAAATGTAATGGGGAACAAGAGTAAGTGGCAAAGAATATGTTATAGTATTCATTTATGATCAATGTTGAAGTAAGAGCGTAAACGCTATATGTACAGTACTGGTGTAGGATGGAAGACCGAGGAAAATGAAAGAATAAAAATCGTGAAGAAGGAATCGGCAACATTAATAACAAGTACATCGAATGGTACCAGGCAGCACACATGGTATTGTTTAAAATGCAAACACGTTATCCTTTGAAGACAAGGGAAAAATCTATTTGAATTAATAATCAAATTCAAATAAAACCTTTGGATCACACTGTCCCCGTGAGCTTACAAATGACTCGATGGTTACTCAGCGATTGGGTGAAAAGAAGGTCATGCAACTATTGGTGTGTGTCAGCGGCAACCAATTCAATTCAATTCAATTCAATTTATTTCTCAACAAATGTCGAACATAGGGAAAATACATAAAATAGAATACATACATCCAATACAATAATAAAACATGTACAGCATATATATGGAGCAATGTATGTTTTAAAAAGAAACAAAAATCAGAAAATGTGGAAGGGGTAGTCAAAAATCAAAAACGATTTGTCGAGGACAACCTCTAATAAAGTTGAAATGTTTTTGTTTAACCTCTTAGTGACATGTTATATAATGTTGACATTGGGTGTGTAATGTGTCTAGGCTTAACAGTTTTATTTATAATAAATTTGGCGTGAAAAGAACTCTCTGATATCTTTTCTCACAAAAAAACTTTGAAAAGTATGTGCGTGCGTGCGTGTGTGTGCATGGGTGTGTGCGTGTGTGTGGGATCGGTGGGTGCGTGTGCGTGCGTGTGTGATGATGGTTATGTGTGTGAGTGTGTGTGTGTGTGTGTGGGTGTGGGTGTTATCTGCTACGTATGTTTTAAGCCCGTTCCGTTCTTTTTGCAATAGACGGTGACATAGGTTACGGAAGTTATGGACGGAGTTTGATATTTTGTTGGAATATTTTTGCGTACCGACCATTATAAGAGAGTTTCTTAAATCTAGCTTGTATTCATGGGCATATTTGGGCAAGTGGGTAATATTCCTTAGGTGTTGTGTAGAGGTGAATGACTTTCAATGCGGCCATCGCGCAGTAAACCTAATTTAAAAATCCGACTGAAGCACAAAATCTCCGTATTTCGATGTTTCAAGGCGTTTATCATCGTGATGTGCGTGGGGAAGCTTTCAGCTAATGACAAAAATATATTTATAGACCGAGATGATACCATACTGCACATGATTCTGTTGCTGTAAGGGTATCGTCATTGAGGCCTGTGGATTGGAAAGTTCCCATCCCTCCCCCAAAAAATATATATGTATATATATATATATATATATATATATATATATATATATATATATATATGAGTGAGCAAATGAATAAATGAATAAAATGATTAGTTTATAAATTCATAAGCTAATTAATAAATAAATTAATTAAAAGATGAATGCATCAATCAATAAATCATTAAGGAAGTAAGTAAATGAATAAATAATTGAATAATATAATGGATAAATAAATGAACAATTAGATGAAAACATAAATGAATAAATGAATATATAAAACATAATTATCTTAAATTAATGAATAAATAATCATATCCTTTAAATGCTCCTCAAGTGAATCTTGTTATTGGTTATTCCTTTTTTATTAATTTATATTTCCATCCATTTATCTATTCATTTACTTATTGATTCATTTATGTATTTATTTCTTTACTTACTTATTCATACTAATTTACTTGAGTACTTACTTATACTTAGCTACTTGCTTACTTCATTACTTACTTAAGTACTTAATTATTTTCTTACATATTTACATATTCCTTTATCTATTTATCTCTCTATTTATATTTCTATTTTCTATTCGTGTCTCCACAGCTCAGGTAGTGTTTTGTGCCTTGGCAGGCTATACGACAGGAGCCTGTGCCACACTTCAAACTGTGATGTGTGTATCACTCTTCGGACCGGGTCAGATGAAGTATGCATATCCCGGTGTCATTCTAGCTGTGGGGATCGCCATGCTCACCAGTCCACCCATAGCAGGTATATCATTCATATCAGAGAGATGCGTGAGGGGGTGACAGGGGGAAGAGGATAGGAGGAGAGGGAGGGAGGGAGAGGGGAGGGGGAAGATGGGAGGGAGAGGGGGAGGGAGAGGGGGAGGGGGAGAGGGACATGGGGAAGAAGAGATGGGCAAACCCTGGTGTCATTCTAGCTGTGGGGATCGCTATGCTCACCAGTCCACCTATAGCAGGTATAGAATTCATATCAGAGAGATGCGGAGAGAGAGAGACAGGGGGAAGAGGATAGGGGAGAGGAGAGGGAGGGAGAGGGGAGGGGGAAGAGGGGAGGAGAAAGAGGGGAGGGGAAAGAGGGGAGAGAGAGGAGGAGGGGGAGAGAGAGGAGGAGGGGGAGAGGGACATGGGGAAGAAGAGATGGGCAAACCCTGGTGTCATTCTAGCTGTGGGGATCGCTATGCTCACCAGTCCACCTATAGCAGGTATAGAATTCATATCAGAGAGATAAGAGAGTGACAAGAAGAGGAGAGGGGGAAGAGAGAGAGAGAGAGAGGGGGGAGAGAGGGGAGAGAGGGGAGGGACAGGGGAAAGAGGAGAAGGAGAAGAGGGAGAGAGAGACAGAGAGAGAGAGAGAGAGAGAGGGGGGAGAGAGAGAGGGGGGAGAGAGGGGAGGGACAGGGGAAAGAGGAGAAGGAGAAGAGATAGAGAGAGAAAGAGAGAGAGAGAGAGAGAGAGAGATAGAAGGGGAACCTGATTTCTGACTTCTTCCTTAGTTCCAAGCAGGTGCATTATTCATTTATAAAAGAGAAGGTAAAACAGGGAATGGGAGAGAGTGAGAAACTGGGAGGAAGGGTGTAAAAGAAAGATGACGACGACAGTCTATGGGAGATGAGGCAAAATAAAGAGGACGAATGTGAGGGGAAAGGAGAGGGAGAGGAAGCGAAAAGTTCAGAGAAAGAATCAGAGAGGATTGAAGAGGGAAAGGGATGAAGAAAGAGATAGATTGCAGAGATGAGAAACATATCTTATCAGATCTATAATAATTATACAACTGGCTAGCAGGGAGCTAGCTCAGAGCTATGGGAGATGGAATGTCTAGTGTCATGTCAGGCCCGTAGGTGTTCCAACAGCCCTGTCATAGCGCAGTTGAGATGGATAGCGGGAGCGTGAGAGAGAGAGAGAGAGAGAGAGTGTGTGTTCGATAAATAATGTGGGGGAGAGAGGCAGAGATAAATGTGGAGAATGGTAGAGAGGGGGAAGAAAAAGGTGTTGACAATTGGAGTGATAGACGGGAAGGGAGCGGCTTAGATAGATAGAGAAAGTTAGAGATACAATGTGGGGGGGGCAAGATAGACAGAAATATGAAGGAAGAGAGAGAGAGACAGACAGAGAGAGATAGACAGACAGACAGACAGACAGGCAGAGAGAGAGAGACAGAGAGACATAGAGACATAGAGACAGACATGGCAGATATAGAGACATGGGAGGAGACACGTATAGAGGTGAAATGGGAAGGGGGATTAGCAGATAGACATACGTCATCGAGTGTTAAACATTCTGACACGTGAATATATCATCAACTTCTTTAATATGATCTTATGTGTAGACACAACGTTCATCGGAAGCATAGTATTTCAGAAGACATACATCATCGGATTCAACATGTTAAAGGACCTTATCTTATGTTCTATCATATTATTAGAGGTAAAGATAATAATTAATTGAAATAACTTCTTCACAATGATTGATAAGTCAGCTGTCATTTCTTGGTCATGGTTAAAAATATGTCAGGGGGGGGGGGCAACTTGTACCCCTTACCTGTCTACAAAGATTGTCTACAAAGTTTACATTACACTCAAGGGCCAACAATCAGTCGGTCTGGAGTCGGAGTGAAGTCGCTCCAGCGGTGTGACTGAGGTACATGTACATGACGGGATATGTATGAAGTACTTGAATAAATAACCAATTAAGAACCAGTTCAACGAACACAGCTGAGCACACGCTAAGTGCAGCCGATGTAATATAGTCATCACCACTCGAAATATTGCACGTACACCTCCCGTATAATATTATTGTGCGAGTGTGTATTAGGTTTACAGACGTGTATCAATCAGATATGATTAATTACGTCTGGGGACCAACCTTTAAACGTCACTAGCCGAAAGTCGTGACACAGTTTTGAACCTGCGTCCTCGGCCAAATCAGTTTGTACATGTAACTTCCATTGTTAGCTGGATGCCACAATGCCTAGTTTTAATTTTGTAGAGTTTTCATCAAATTCTATAACGTAAATAACAAATACGATCGTTCAAATTGATATTCCAAAATTCTACTAAAAACTACGGAAGCGTTAAAGTGCCATTCTACTTGACGACCTGACGAGATATTTCATCTTGTCAAGTCGACTTAATGTCCATATCATGTCGACATGTAAAGATATTTAACCTACCATGTCGACTTATCAACTTTTATTAGTCGACATGGCGAAATAAATTAACTTGCCAAGTCGACTTCACAAAAAGTTCATGTCGTCATGGCGACATGTATTATCTTGCCAAGTCGACTTCACAAAAAAGTTCATCTCGTAATAGCGACATAAATTATCTCACCAAGTCGACTTCCCAAAAAGTATAAATTATGTCGTCATGGCGAGATATGTAGTGTGACGACTATTTCATGCAGCGCGCGTACGTGTAGTTCATTAACAGTCGACTAGTCTAGGTCTAGTGACTTTAGTCCTGATCCCGGTCCCTCGATCGTCTCACCATCACCATTGATGGTGCATGCAAGATAACTTATGTCGCCATGACGACATGAACTTTTTGTGAAGTCGACTTGGCAAGATAATTTATTTCGCCATGTCGACATTACTTTTTGGGTAGTCGACTTGGTAAGATAACTTATGTCGCCATGACGACATGAACTTTTTGTGAAGTCGACTTGGCAAGATAATTTATTTCGCCATGTCGACTAATAAAAGTTGATAAGTCGACATGGTAGGTTAAATATCTTTACATGTCGACATGATATGGATATTAAGTCGACTTGACAAGATGAAATATCTTGTCATGTCGTCAAGTAGAATGGCACTTTAACGCTTCCGTAAAAAACATTTCAACACTAAGATTTATATATTATTGTCATGATTATCAATTACTATCCTTTCTCCTTTTCTCCTTTTTTCACAATGTAACCTCTCTGACTCATTCTCTCTCTCTCTCTCTCTCTCTCTCTCTCTCTCTCTCTCTCTCTCTCTCTCTCTCTCCTCTCCTTCCAGGTCTGTGTCGCGATCTCCAGGGAAATTACCTGGGAGCTTTCTTCATGGCCGCAGCTGCCTGTTTCTCGTCGGTGGTGGCGCACCTCCCTTTGAGCTGCACCATCAAGCCAGGAAAGAAACATGCTCACACTCCCATAGAAGATAACGACCCGTACTTAGGCGACGAATTTGTCCCAAAAGTATAAACTGTTTATCGCTCTCATCATTTCCTTATTTCCTTATTTCTTTATAAAAGAAAAAGACATCAAACCGGTTATGATTTCAATTACCAATCCAATATTATTCATCTCTTCCTTTTTTGTCATGAAATGTTTTCTTAACGTTATCCCCAAACTGACCAATAATAAATTGTTGGATATTCAGGTAAAGTAGTATTTTAAAGAAAATCACAAATATGACCAATAATGTGCCACTGGAAACCAGGAAGCCTACAGATGACAATCCTTTAAGAGTTAGGTCAACTACGTATCGAATGATACAAAAAGGAGGAGACAGTATTATAGTAATAGTAGCAATGTTAATCGCCGAGTAGTCATAGAAGGGGCATTATCTTAACATTTCATCTTCATCAGTCGGGCAGCCCATCAAAGTCTCGAATAGTTCAACTTGGTGCTATACCTGTAGGTTTTTTGGTCTGTGTCTTATTACCAGCACGTTTCTAGAATATGAACTGTATACTTGTGTGTATATTACCAACTCCGTTATTATCCCTTATTTTATTTTGCAATTGCTGAAATTTTGTACAGACTCTACACATGGAATGTATTGAAGAATATTTCATGTGGCATGCAATGAGTTAAGCCTTAAGCACTGCATTATTTTATCGATCATTATTTGACGTATTGTGTGTGAAAGTTCACTCATTTAATCTTGAGTTAAATGATGGAAGGACTTGATAAGCTTTTGTAAGCTTTTGTTAAAGTGTCTTGCATGTATTTCAATGTTGCCTTTTTGAGAAATTGTAACTGATTTAGTCTTATAGTGACGAGCCTCGTCTCAAATGACAATGGTGCTCAAAGTACTGATCATTCCATTTCTATAGTCATGAATGTCTTTACATTAAATAAAAGTGTGTGTATGCAGACTACTTGAATCTGGGTGATATATCAGATAATATGTATATAAGCATCAGCTTCTAAACGCTTTTGGGTGTAATACAGTAGCTATTAATTTATAAACTGATTATTTTTGTCATAGTTTTCTAAACTTTTGTATAGCTTTATTATATCCTGTGAGGAAAGATTACTACGTGTATTTTAATTTGTGTAAATCTCGCGTGGAAATGTATCAAAATTCAATCTGGTATATCTGCTCTCTCTCTCATCGTAGAGCAGACATTACTCTACCTCACAAAAGTATGATAAAAAACAGTGTGTGACACTTACTATATTTTACTAAAAATGAAAGGAACACACCCTAAGCATCCTAAGAGTTTGTTTGTATATTAAAGTTATGATCCACAATGGATGGAAATTACTCAAATATACTTGTAATAAGAGAATAAATTCTATATTATTTGAAAAAGTTACAGACCAAGTGTATTTCTATTTGTACATTTTCATAATTTGTATTTTTTTTCTTGAGCTAATGTTTAAATATGTTATATATTGTAAACGAAGAAAAAAAATGATACATAGTATTACAAATAATGTTCCTATTGACAGAAGTTGTTTTTGGAACTAGATTTTAGGAATAAATTGGTGTAGCCTTTCTATATTATATATATATATATATATATATATATATATATATATGATAAAGCACAGTTAAAGTATATATATATATTTTTTTTTGATTGCATGCAAATTACCATTGTGTTTAAGTGAAGAAAAGATATATAGGAATTAAATTTCTTCTCGGATTTCAAAGTTACGTATATTGCATTTTAAACCGTTTTGAACTTTTGTATACTATTTAGAGGTGTCTTTTATCTTTATTTCTTTTACTTAACTTTAAATCTTTTCCATAAATTTGAGTATGTTAAGAGAAATATGGATATTTTTATTATGTTTTCCTATATAACACCAATTTCACTTAAACACAAATCTCATCATTCCAAATCCCTTTTGGTATAAGCTAACTTTTATTAGAAGCTTAATCCTACTGTTCCGTAAAAAAACACACCACAAACTATGAAATGACGTAGCCTGCTATAGAACTTCCATTTTATACTCGTCTAAGACCTGCAAAAATATGACAGGGGGCACCCGGATTTGAACCAGGGACCTCTCGATCTGCAGTCGAATGCTCTACCACTGAGCTATACCCCCATTTACATACTTATTGCTATATATATATTGTATAATAATGAAATAAAACTGCAAAGTTTTCTACATATTTTGTTTTACTGTCAAAGTAATTTTTACGTATTAATTTCATTATTGCAATACATTATACAGGTTGTATATCCACTGCATACCTACAGGGGTCTTTTGGAACCTAATTTTGTAAATGACGGTGGTACCAGATAACTTGTTATTTCATCACTTGAACTTGAAGTCTGCAGTTTATTGTGGAAAGTAATAATAATATAGAATTAATATGTGTTTCACTCCATAACTTGTATGAATTCTGGCTAAAAGCAGACAAATTTACATATATAATCATAGCATGATACTTTTTTGAAATGTAATAATATGCCATAATATATTTTTGTTCGTATAATTCATATATTAACAAATGTTACACTCGATACTATATTGCAATTTATTATTATAAATTTTCAATTTGCAAATGGACTTACTCGCCTACTTGTTGTCTTCCTTCATATCGTGCAACTCTTCGCGTCTTAAAGTTAAAGTTGAGTCCTGGGCGCCACATTTCACAAAACGTGTCATCAGTGACAAATGATAGTTTTTGTTATCAGCTAGTGAAATCCTTGCTTCTGATTGGTTATCAGCAGATTTCTCACTGTTTTTTTTCTTCATTTGTTATTGAGAAAAGGCATTGTGAAACGGGTCCCTGATGAAAAGAAACTGTCTAGAAGCGATTTGTGTATATACTGTGAGGTTTTGGAATTGTTAGAGTGATAAGATATTGATTCAGTCTTGGTGGAAGTCGCAGCTATACTAGAACTACACGAACATGTGGGGTGAAATAATATTCCAAACACTTCAGCTATTTCTTGTCATATAATTTCGAATGTGAGGGCATTTGGAGAGCAATGCTCTGTCATGAGAAAGAGTATAGGATATCCAAATTGACATGAAATGAAGTTGTATCGGGTTGTAAGACACAAAAGATACAAGATAACACTTGAGTATACACTTTCACGTTTTTTTTTTATTTGGCTTTATCTTCTTTCGCTTTATCTGGTAATTTGTGAATGTTTTGCTTATTGTTAAAGCTATAACATCATTACGATAACTATGAAACATTAGAATGGCAAACTCTTTAAAGGTATTACAAAGTTTTGGGGAAATTTGACTAAAGGGCGTAGGTCCCCTAGTTGATAAGCATAGTAGCATACACATGCTTTAGCAGTCACGCAAAACACACGTTGTCAAATTCTTATTCAATAAAATCTGAGAATATATACTATTATCTAGATCTATTATTTTTAAATTATTTTTAAAATAATTCCATAAATTGGGGTAAAACAAGTGTATCTAGCGATATTATTTTCGATACTACATCCGCAATGAGTAATATATATATATATATAGCATTAAAAGTATTATTATTATTAAAGAAATTAAATTCCATATGTGAATATACTCCTCGAGAAATTAAATGTTCCCAGGGATACTATTCGAGCTAAGGCCATTTAATCTTCTGGCAATGGCGGATGATTCTTGTATAGTAATAAAATAAAATTCGCACTTAATGATGAAAAGAACAAGTAAGTGATATCTAAAGGACTATTTAGAAATTGAAAGATCAGAAATAGCAAACAAAAGATACTAAGTATAACAAGCGGTCTGACAAATGCAAAACTATGTCTGGGCTATTTAGTCAATGCACCTTTAGCGAGTTATGATTGGTTTAATGATGAGTAAATAATTAAATTCAATTTAATTCATTAAAAAAAGAAAATCATAAATACAAAATACATAAAAGACCAGGATCCTTTACGGGTAAAATGTGCTTGTAAATGGGGCATTTTACACACAATATTTAATCGAGTCTTTAAACAATATATCTTACTACGCCAACGACTAATAACTACAGCAGGTGTCCATCTCATATATGCACACACCCACAAACACACAACAACGATACAAAGGAAGGATGAGGTGATACTGAAAAAGAGAAAATGAGAGAGAGAAGAAATGGTCCATTTACTTATAATTGCAGACCAACTTCTAATCAGTGCAACAGTGCACACAGTGATAGTCAATTCTTTTGCATTAACAAAAAAATAAAATTAATTCCTTGGAGCTGATATAAAAAAAAAAGTAATTCCGAAACTTTCTAAAAGCTCTGCGGATTCAGTAATGATCGTGTAATGATGATACAAATATTATTATTTGGCATGACTCATTTTTTATTTTCAACACTTCTCAAATTCTATAGCTATATCATCTTTGTCATTAGACGAACTTAAGAATGCCTCTAAATTTTGATTCGATGTTCGTACATTTCAAGGTACCCCGCCATCGTCATATCGATTCCTTTGATGACGTCAGGGGTCATTTTATCACGTGACACAGGCGTGCTCGGTGGCATGAAACACGAGCTGTGCATCGCCCTGCCGTAGAAATCCACCATCTGCATCAGCTGGTCGTCCCCGCATTGCTTCCACGTCTTGAAGGTATCCAAGGACGGGTCCCACTGGAGAAGCGACTCGCTGAAGGGCAGGCCTACCAGCTCGCAGTACTTCGCAATTATCTCTTTAGGGTGCGTCAAGAGGTCGTCCGCGTCAATGACGATCGGGTCCGCTTCGAGCTCCGCGCGTACGTACTTCCAGAAGTCATAGACGGCCTGGATGTAGTAGCCACCGTCCCCGTGTTTGTCATCACGCTTGAGGTCAAAGGTCGCGGCCTCGGCTGCCTCACCTTCCAGGAGGCCTTGGGACTTCATGTGCTTGAAGTAGGAGTTTCTGAAGGAATATATCGCCCTCTCTGGCGTGCGAATGAGGAAGGTATGCCTGAAGCCCCTGGGAAGGCAGTGGTACGTTTTCTCGCCAATGCCGAGGCACATGTCTTTGACGAAAACGTGGCGCCCTCTTGCGCCCTCTAGTCTGGGTTTGATGTTATCGTACCTGTTTAAGCCCAAGATATTATAATAATACGCGTTACTTTAGATGTACATGTATTTGGACGTTTTTAGGTCAGAATTGTATAAGAACGATTTTCATGCTTGTATCACTAGCAATGTACTATTAAGCGATAATAGGTCAAGCCCCTAGGTATTCAAGAATGGTTAAAACCCAAATCTCACAAACATATCCCTAATTAACCTGCGCAGCTCCCAATTGCAAGGTCCTCTGCTATTGCAAACCTCGTCACATAAAACAAAAATATTAGTTGATTACAAATTTACATGTGCAACGCCAAAACTGTGGGTTAGAAAATATGAAATCACCAGAAATTTAAAGCTCATATTTTTATTTCACTTTCTGTAGTAGTTTAAAGGAAAATTCACCCAAAGAAATAATTAAGTTATTGTGAGAGATTTATGTATTCTTGTCCACTAATCTACAACATTCTCCACCAAAGTGTTGGAGAGATGTTTAAAGCAAGATATTATCAGCATAATGTAGTGTTTCTCAGCACGACATGAACATGCCCATTTCCCTAATTATGTAACGCACTATGCGAAGTCGTTTATCAAGTATTATTCAAATTTATGGATGCTTCCTTCCCAGGTGTGTGCGGTGATTTCATTCACCTGCTATTATCCTTCGTACTACAATTATTGTCAGAAAGCAAATTGCATAAATAAGTTGATGTTCTTCTGGGGTGAAGGTTTTACATACATTAAATAAATATATCAACTGATACATTTTAGTATTTTCAAATAAATGAGTTTAAAATTGCTCCCCTGTTATAAATTTTTTCGTCAAATATACCTTCTAAGCTATGAAAAGTAAAGGTTTTCTTACTAAATCAAAAAGTCTTTCGATTAAAGGCCCGGTCACACAGCCTTTCGCGTCTGTATCGCGGGTAAAATTTCGCGGTTTTTTTTTTGCCCGCGGTTGCCCGTGGTGGAAAATGTGCAAAATTGGCTTACCCGCGGTTTACCCGTGGTATGCCCGCGGAACAGACGCCGGCGACTGTTCCGCGTCCTTATCGCGGGTGAAGCGCGGCGGTACCGCGGCCTACCACGCTTACACGCGGTACACACGCTAATGCACGTGATAACAACGCGGTACAGACGCGGAACAAACGTGCTATGACCGTGCTCCACCCGCGATTACCCGCTAAAATTTCGCGTCCAATTCCGCGTGTAACCACGTCTTAACCGCGGCCGTAGCACGTCCTAGCACGTTCGTTCCGCGTCTGTACCGCGTCTTTACCGCGTGTGTACCACGTGTACCACGTGTACCGCCCGCGATTACCCGCGGTCTAAATTTTTGGGCAGCCC